GTATATATAAAAAACATTATGCTGTTTGTCATTATTAGAGTTTCTCAGACTTAGTGTAAACCGAAAGTGACTAAGAAATAGAAAGAAAAAGCTGTTGTGTGATAATAAATGGACTGTGATGTAAAACAGAAGCCACAAAGCAGATTTAAAGCTGCTTTTGGAGGTATTTTAAATGTTGTGGCATTTTGCACTCATTTTAAGTTTTTATGTATTTATAAAAAAAGTTTGTTTAATCATAAATAATAAATATTTTAATATTAATAGTTATATATGATCAATAAATATAGTCATAAAATAATGAAAAGTAGAGTTTTGTTGTTATGTTGTCATTTTTAATGGATGGTGGCATAACACAGAAGCCAAAACACAGACTTAAGGTTATGTGTGGAGGAAACATATTTTTAGAATGATATTTATGCATTTTTTTTAGCATATTTAATAACATTTTATGGTTGTGTATTTAATAAGTATCATGAATTTTAGGCCAAAGTACACTACAAAAGTGACCAAAAATATTAAGCAATATTAAAAATAAGTCATTTTAACACGTCTCAACAATAAAATAAAACTCAAAGGTAAACCAAGGGTACACTGTTGTTCATGTTGACATCTGTGTTAATGGAGGAGAAAGACAAAGTAGAGTGCTTTTCTTTATTTAATCTGGGTTTGCAACATCTGTCTGTTCATGTCTTGATCCGTCCATCAGCATCTATTACAGATTACAGCTGTGCAGCGAACACTAGCACGTACCATCTGCCTAAAGTTTTATAGTTTGACAAGGATTATAGTGTAAAGGTACCAGATGGACTAAAAGAATAACTGAGGTCTTAAAAGAGGCTCACAGATGGAGGCCATGCAAAGCATACATGACACGGAGCATAATCTGTTCAGAATATGAATGAATGTGCTGCTCTGGTTTTTATGTGATTTGAAGTCACCAATATTTCCATTCAAAGTAGATTTTTTTAACCTCAAAGTATGTCATGCAAACTGCACAGTTTAATTAAAACCTGGGTATTTTGTGATCTGGGTCAGTCTGATTCTATAGAAACTGGTTCTTTGAAAAAAAAAAAAAAAACTTGTGCATTGTTCATGCTGAATATCTCTTTATTTTTTTCACTTTTAGAAAATATTTTTTTTTTACTAAATTGAATCATAATGACAAATGAATTTAAATGAATGCATTTTCAGTAATTACAAATTCAAAACATATTTCAGTCAAAGCTATTTCTCAGACTCTCTACCAGGTCAGTTTGACTCTCCCACGCTTTGTCCATTTTTCTTCTCTTTCTGCATCTTCTGCATACTGCACTGAAGCCCAGAAGCAACAGTGCACTGGTGAGGAGCAGAAGTCCTAGAATGGAGATGGTCGATCCGTGGGTGCTGAAGCTGTAGGCTACCGCTGTGACTGCAACACCAATGATCAGGAGAACAACACCGAATGGAAGAGTGCAGCGAGAGCAGGACCCTTCCGCTCCTCCAGTGGCCGTCGTCAGCTCTGCTCCATTAACCAGGGCTGAACCCTTCAGCGCAGAATGATCAGTGCTCATGGTCCAGTGAAAGCTGCTGGGATGTTTAATTCACTTTTGTTTGGTTACTTTTGGACTCCTCTTGCTCTTTACCAATGATGCTGAGACCGTTTTAGTTCGTTGCAGCATTTCTAAGATCAAAAATAATAACCAATTTTTAATGTAAACCTGTTCTAAATCCTTAGATGAAAAGTGAATTATTATATTTATTCATGTATTCATTGATTAATCCATCCACTCATTCATTATTTATTATTGCCATCTATTCATTTGCTCAGTCATTCACTATGTACATTCACAAAGTATTAATTTTTAAACTAAATACCTAAAGTATAAAGTGTCAAACTAAAAATGAATTTTTCAATAATATTTTGGATTAGCTTTGAATAAAAGTATGTAGTAAATGAATACATTTTTCAAAGTATATGTATTTCTAATTTTTACTAAATTTTTATTATTTTTTAATGTATTGTATGATGCTATATTCTATTGCTAGTTATTCTATGATTTATTTTTATTGCTGCAATGCCTCAATTTCCCTCACGTGATTAATGAAGTACTATCATATCCTAAAAATACAGACAATTAAGAATGACAAAAATAATAGTCTACTGTATAGTCACTTTGTTTTCTAATCTGGCCATTTTAAGACTGCTTATCAGTTAAAATACATTTTAATACACTACTATTAAAAAGTTCTATTTCAAGTAAATGCTGTTCGTTTGAGCTTTCTATTCATCCGTGAATCCTGAAAAAAAATGTCTATCATATCCTAAAAATACAGACAATTAAGAATGACAAAAATAATAGTCTACTGTATAGTCACTTTGTTTTCTAATCTGGCCATTTTAAGACTGCTTATCAGTTAAAATACATTTTAATACACTACTATTAAAAAGTTCTATTTCAAGTAAATGCTGTTCGTTTGAGCTTTCTATTCATCCGTGAATCCTGAAAAAAAAATGTTTCATGGTTCCATAAAAATATTAAGCAGCACAGCTGTTTTCAACATGATAGTATGATAATAATTAAAAAAAAAATACTACAGCACCAAATCAACATTAGAATGGTTTCTGAAGACTGTGTGACACTGAAGACTGGAGTAATGGCTCCTTGAAATGAATTATATTTTAAAATATATAAAAAAAATTAAAAAAGTTATTTTAAATTATATTAAAATGTAACAATATGACTGTTTTTAATGTATTTTGACTATAAATGCAGCCTTAAAAAAATCTTACCGACCCCAAACTTTTGAGTATTAGCAGATTTACAAAATAGGTAAAGTTACAAAAATATCTTAGTAAAATTAGTTTCTAGTTCACTACATTCATGCAGCTAGTTTAATGCATGAAGAAAAAAGTTCCACAAACTGAGAAGCTGAAGGAGAAACTTACCATGAGATGAAGCATATGTGCCCTGGAGTGGTAACCAGACTGAAATGAAGTATTTCTTCAATATGTTTCTCTTGCTTTAAAGACTACCTTGATATTTAACCCTCTACATACAGACGGCACGTATCCATTGGAACCGTACGGAATCATTCCTGTGGTGGGTCAGTTTCTGGGCCACCAGGGTGCCACAGTATCCAAGGAACGAAAACAAATCTGTGCTCCACAGCTGCAAGGCCACACACTCCCCTAGATTCCCTGGCCATGCCGTCAATTACAGACAGATGTTCAATGCTCTCTGCCTCTTTCATCTTATTCCCACTCCCATAACTGGATGCTGTGCTTGGGCTCTTGCTCATCTGCATTGTGATCTGTGAAGTGCATCAAGGAGGTTAGAGATTCACTGAAGCTCTCATTTCTCAGAAAATAATTTATCATGTCTGCTGAAAAGACTTCAGATGGATTCATGAAGCTGTTAGTCAGGAAATATGTGCAGTTTCTGAAGATAAAGCTCCCTCATGTGGTCTTTTTAGTGACTAACAGGGAAAAAAATTTATCAGCAGCAGGGAACGAGTGGGCCTAATTTCTGGGAAAACATTAAAATGGGATTTCATACTCACATGACTTGGTATAAAAACTGTGGAATCAGCTCACCATCGTTATCTAAAAGCAAAAAGTCTGCTGACCTTAAGGTTAATGTTTCTCATTTTTGCATGTTATATTTATGTAGGCTAAGAAACTTCTTACAAACTGTAAAATTGAAGATAAATCAACATCTTGAAGAAAATATGGAATTAGATTATTTAAGTTGTAATGTTGGAAAACGCTGAATTTATTTAGTTTCATAAGTATTTTATGTCCCTTAAAGGTCACAATGTGAAGGCTTAAATAATATTGGACTTGAGTAGCTAAAATCAGTTAATTTAGAAATTATCAACTGAAGTGCATTTTAGATGAATTTAAAAAACTGTTTATAGGCAGAGTTTCAATAATGCATACACATTTCTGAGCAAATGGAAAAAAACTGCAACAACAACAAAAAGCCTCTAAAACTCACTGAACTTGTAGGCTACATTGTGTAACCAGCTAATGTAGTCAGGTTGATTCAGTGAGTCATAATATTTCTATAATATTTAATATAATTTATAATACAATTATATTTTATAATGTATAATAGGCCTATTTATGACTAAAACATGGCTCCTTTAATAAAAAAAATAGTGTATTACCACAGTTACCACATGAAGAACTTAGTTTAGCAGAACGTTTTTTAAGTGTGTAGTTTAATTAACAGTGTTACAGTACATATTTCTCATGAATGTACAAAACTGCATAGTTTATATCACTGAGGCTGTACTAGTCATCATGTCGTCTGGTGGAAATGGCTGAGATGTTCTTTGGTTACATCAACATGAAGATGAAGAACTGTTTATGTGAGATAATTGCAGTCCCTCATTTTCCTGGAAAACTACATAAATATTTCCTGTCTTATCTTACACAGTCATGCACAAAAAAACCTGACAGGACGGGATTCAACGAAATTCGACATTTTAACGTTCATACACTCGTTAGCAAAACATAGGCTATCAAAACATTACTCCGCGGAGTTTATAGTTATTGAACAGTGATGAAAAGTGAATATCTTCGGAGCAGATGACAGGGTTCCTTCACTTCCTGATGGCGAACAGGGATCACATTTGGTGAGTTTTGCAGAAATCTTTAGCTTTTGTTCCTAAATGCAGTCGCAGGAGTTAGAGTTCTCACTACGCCTGAGTGGAAGACACGTAACGGGAAGTTTTGAGTCCAGTTTTAGGTTTTTACGGGAAGAGGATGCAGATGTTCTGAGGATCCGCAGCGGTTCCTTGAGTCCAGAACCGGAGAACAAAGAGGTACATTCCCTCCTTTTCCAAACGAGTCCGTGTTTCGTATTCAGTGAAGCTGTCTGCACTGGACGTAGCGTGAAAATCTGTCAGCTTTACAGTGTACATCGCAACTGGAGTGTTTGCAGTGTTAGGTGGGGTGTTATATGAAAGGAAGAGGAGTAATTAAAGATGGATACATGTGGGATATGAACAGTGTTGTGATGGGAAAAGTGTGAGGAGATTTTAAAGCTCATTTCGGAACCACACCTCTGCTAAAGCTCATTTGATCAAAAGCGTTTCTGTAGTGATTAAGGGAGTGAATGTTTATCATGATAGTTTATTTTTGAAAGTCAGTTTCTATGTAGTCACATACTTTAAGTTCTAGGCTACAAAAAAAGCTGTTGAACATTTCCACTGTTACTGCCCAAGGAAAAAAAAGATTCAGTTAATTTAAACATTTACCTTCTATGACAACATGCCCCAATGGCAGGGAATGCTGTCACACCATATGGGGTAAGTTGTCACAACGGAACCTGCCTGGTTAGACTTTTCAGTAAAATGTAAACAGTAAAACAATTCATGAAACAGAAAAAATGTAAAAGGTAACATATTAAAATATCAATCCATTGTTATGGCCAGTAGAAATTGAAATCTTACTATCATATCCAGCTGTGATGCAGCTTTGGTTCTGTGTAAATGAAATGCAGCCTCAGAGTAGTAGCAGCCTAAAATTAGTTTGTTATCATAGTTTTTATTTTTATTTTTTTACTTCATTCTTATTTTCATATTTCTACATTTATGATTTCTTAAATGCCACCTTGATCTTTAATTGCCACCTTAAATGCCAAATCTTAATTTCATAATAGGACGGGACAGAATTCACAGAGTTTGTATTAAAACTTAAAAGGCTACTTAGCCAGATGTTATATTTACTATGTGAGCATTAATAATGAGTGCAGGCTTGATTTGCCAGCTTCTGTTTGGCACCACCAGCAGGGACCTGTGCTGTGAAGTGACCTCAGGTCCAAAACATTAGCCATGTGGATAATTGGCTGTGTAATTTGGCTTCATTTGTGGCTGTGGAAAAAAAACCTCACGTGATCAGCATACAGTACACTAACAGGTTGTTCTGCTTTTCTCAGAGATGGCTCAAGATGTCTTATGAGACTGAAAAAACTTGCCTGCTGGCTCCACAAGAATCACAAACGCCATGTGGTTGCCACAAATATGAAATCCCAGGAATGGGAGAGGACAGGTACCGTAAGCTCAATATGTATAATAATAATTATACAATAATCTATAGATAATCTATTTAATACAGCAAAACTGAAATATATCATATTGTATTGTATTGCAGTGTTTTAGAAATGCTGAGCTACTCCAAATTCTCTGATCTGGAGACGTGGCTGTGTATGCCCTCTACTATGTTACCCAGGAGCCGGGATTCAGTTTGCTCCTTGCCGCCACCGTCCCATGAGAATGGCACTGGAGACACAGGCAAAGAGTCCAGGTAACATGTTTGTGAGAATATTTTAAGGATGGGTCTGGGTAGTTCCTGTCTCTTTGTTACAGACCAGTTTGATTGCTTTTCTCGGAGTAGGCGTTTCAGTTAAGGGCAAGTTTCATATTTAAACAGGAATCTCACGTTTGTGTGATTGGTAAGCGGTGACTTGCTTTATCTTATAGACATGCAAAAATCTGTTTTCTTTTCTTTTTAATTGTTACACAGCTTTAGATTACTCCACACTTAGTTTTTGTGTAATGACCACTGAACTGTATATATGACTATTGACAAGCAGCTAACTACACATTTTGCAAGTTCCAAGGTAGCTTTTTTCTCACATATTCAAATAATCCTGGCTCACATTTGCATTTTGTTTATTTACTTGTTAAGTAGACATGCAGTAACTAATAGAATGTACAGTTATTCATAAATAATGTTTAGCTTAGTGCAGTTGTTGGACTGCAATTCTTGCAGTGACCACATGTTGTCATCTTTTACACATTAAAGGCAGGGTATGTGATTTTTCAAAAACACTTTAGAAAACTGATTCGGGCCGAATCGCAAAACAAACTTGTAGCCAATCAGCAATAAGGGGCGTGTCTACTCGTGATGTGGAGGAGAGAGCTTTCAGTGCATGGGACGGACATTAGCCGAGCCGAGCGACAGAGAGATAGAGATGGCGGATAAAAAACAAAAGAGGAAAACGTCTGCGGAACGATAAGGCAAGAAGTAGGACCCGTGTAAATATCGGATCAGCTTTCCAGCGCTGGAGAGAACTCAAGGAGCGGAGGCCTGCGATCGGACGCCGAGGTTGCTTTGTTTCTTCTCAATAGGTGAGTAACACCGTGTCTACAACAGCTAAAGTCTGCCTACACTGGACGCGATCAAACGACCGTTGAAAACCATTTGAAATTTGTGTCAGCACGTCATAAATAGAACCCGGCAGCAGTTTTCTGTCAGGGATTTGTTGCACCGAGCCGCTCACGTCCGTAGACACGGTGTAATTTTGGTTTTGCTTTGTTTCACAGAACTAATCGTTGCCTGGGTTGCATACGTATATTTGGGGCGGAGCTATCAAAATAGGGGCAAGACCCTTTTGGGGTAGGGGCGTGCTTGTTTTGGTGATTTCAAATATCAACACTGGCTACCAGAAATCACTTACTCTGCCTCTAACATTCACTTAAGACTAGGGCTGTGCGATTAATCGAAATCGAATCGAATTCGCGATTTGAGATGTTGCGATTTGCTAATCGCAAAGCCTGCGATGTGGACGTGATATTACTCTGTTCCAGAGCATATGCATGACTGCCAGCCTTGAGTTGCAGTCTTAC